CCCAATGGAAGAAACCTTTGGGGAGGACTTCCCAAACCTCTTCCTCCTTCTCAACTACGTCCTGACACTACCTGGCTCTTCTGTTGAGTCTAAAAGTGGGTTCTCCTGGTGGGTTGGTTAATATAGCCGAAATGATGATTAAATATGATACTTTACAAGTTTTGTTTCATTCACAAATACGATTTTTTCACAACTTAATTTAAAAATGTACCACTATTGCAGCATGAAAAACGTAAAGAATCACTGGCGGTCCAGGCTGGTAGAGCAGCACCTTTGTGACCTCACGCTTGTTATCCTGGAGACCCCAGACATATCCAGTGTTGACCTGCAGCCAGCCATACATCACTGGTATGGAGCGGGACAGATCCTGTGACCAAGTTTGAAGAGAATCGGTTAACATTTGTTGTAGTTATTGCACGGAAACGAAGCATAACAGACAAGCAGACAGACAGACGGACAAACCCAAATTAACATCCCCCGTTTTGGCGAAAGCGGGGGATAAAAAGCTATCAGATACATATTAAGATTCTATACCTTTCAGTTCTTCAGAAGTTGTTTCAGTAATTGACAATGGTGACCCCTGTGACCTTGAATTTAGTGCAAGGTTATTTTCTTTTTTAAACTTTGTTGGGCTCTAACCAACAAAGCTACCAGCCTCATATTGAGATTAGTTCTTCAGAAGAATTCGTTTTAAGTATTTGACACGTTTTACCCCTGTGACCTTGATAGTAGGTCAAGGTCATTTTCGTTCTCAAACTTTGCTGGACTCTTTCCTACGAAGATACTGGACACATATTAAAATTCTATACCTTTCAGTTCTTCAGAAGAAGTCGTTTTAAGTATTTGACACTTTGACAAAGGAAAAGTTGACGGATGACGACGGACGGACGACAGACGACGCGCAATGGCATAAGCTCACTTGCCTTTCGGACAGGTGAGCTAAATATACCACACAAACCTAGAAATTGATTCAAATGTAGATTTTCAAATTGTATAACAACAATCAATGCCATTAATTTGCTAATTCAAGAGATGCAACATTCTAAAGCTACAATAGCGTCCCGTGGACCTTCTGACATGGGGATAGAGCTGGATGTTGAGGAGGAAGCAGATCTGGAAGCAGAGGTTGCAGTATACATTAGACTAAAATAGCCCGACTCTGATAAACAAGGCACATGTCGAGGAAATGTAAACACAGCGTATTTACCCTACAAAACACATGTATACATGTATATATATTTGTAAACTGCATTACATTTACAATACATATAAAGTACTGAGAAGAGTATAAACCTCTTTTTTCTATGTATGTCACTTGTGTGAAAACCCTGGTTACCACATCAAAAATTACCAAAAAATGCCAAGAATTGCTATTTTTAACCCAAAATTTGACCCCCGCAACTAGTTTTTTTTCCCTAAGCTCTGTCTGAAATTAAAGATTACCTACCTGGTTGCAGAATTATCTGGGTCCCAGTAAAGTTGTAAAACTGGATTTTTTGCAATTTTGCGTCGTGTGCTGTTGTCAAAATTTTACCTCCTGTAAAGCTAGCTTTTCATGTGGTCGCACCTTTTCGGATTATGGCCAAAATTTTATTCTTGAACCAAAAAAATCTTCTTTGTTTTTTACAAATGTAAAGCTCACATAGCCCACTTCATCATGCTTATACCAATTTTAGTACAGTTTTATTTTTATAATTCTTTTACATATCGTTATACAGGGGTTAGCCATTTAACAAAAATATCACCCATGGCCACAACCCTCTACTTTATACTGCTACCAGATGATTATATCATTAATTCTGTTACGGAGGATGAGTGCGAAGAGATGTAAAAAAAAAAATCTCATCGCAAAACGTACAGAATGCTGCTCAACAGTAATTGAATAAAATTGAGTGACTGTATGCTTATTTTGTGTTGAACACTTTTCTTGATAGGTCGGCCAAGTAGAACTTTACTTTAAGTTTGAAATAGTTTTTCAAAATGGCAGCCGTGGTGGCCATATTGGATTTCTGATCGACCCGAAAAATAACAACACTTTGTCAGGACCATGAGTCGATCATTCCTACCAACTTTCAGTTCAATCGGTCCAGCAGAACTTGACTTTAAGTTTGAAATAGGTTTTCAAAATGGCGGCCGTGGCGGCCATATTGGATTTCTGATCGACCCGAAAAATAACAACACTTTGTCAGGACCATGAGGCGATCATTCCTACCAACTTTCAGTTCAATCGGTCCAGCAGAACTTGACTTTAAGTTTGAAATAGGTTTTCAAAATGGCGGCCGTGGCGGCCATATTGGATTTCTGATCGACCCGAAAAATAACAACACTTTGTCAGGACCATGAGGCGATCATTCCTACCAACTTTCAGTTCAATCGGTCCAGCAGAACTTGACTTTAAGTTTGAAATAGGTTTTCAAAATGGCGGCCGTGGCGGCCATATTGGATTTCTGATCGACCCGAAAAATAACAACACTTTGTCAGGACCATGAGGCGATCATTCCTACCAACTTTCAGTTCAATCGGTCCAGCAGAACTTGACTTTAAGTTTGAAATAGGTTTTCAAAATGGCGGCCGTGGCGGCCATATTGGATTTCTGATCGACCCGAAAAATAACAACACTTTGTCAGGACCATGAGGCGATCATTCCTACCAACTTTCAGTTTAATCGGCCCAGCAGAACTTGACTTTAAGTTTGAAATGTAAAATGTTACGGACGACGGACGACGACGGACGAAAACGGATAGCAATAGGTCACTTGAGCTAAAGCTCAGGTGACCTAAACAGTCCTGAAAGATTCCCTTTGGGGAAAATTTTTTAGTCGCCTCTTATGATACATGCAGTTGGTAACAGCAGATGCATTTTTATCTCGGCCACCGACTTGGTTTCGTTTGGTTTAGTATTGTTTAACGTCTTATCAACAGCTATGGTCATTTAAGGACCGCCTCCCTGTGTGCAAGATGCATGCGTGCAGTGAACCCGTGTGTGTTTGCCTGTTTGTGGAGGTGCGATATGTTCGTGTTTGTCTCCTTGCGATAGCGAGGAACTTATGCCGACTTTATAGTGCTACCTCACTGAAACATACTGCCGAAGACACCCAGCAGGACACCCCACCCGGTCACAAGGGGTGGTAGTCATAGTAATATTGGGTCACATAGATATGATATAATGGAAAATATACACTGATAAGAAATTTTAAACCGATAATTTACCTTATTTTACATGAGGCTTTAGTTTTTTTTCTGTAATATTGATTAACTATAAAACCGCACATTAATGCACAAATGAAAAAAACTAGATAATAGTTAATTAGCACGATTTTCCACAAGTGCGTACAATGAATTGTTCTGTGGTGTTAGTCTGATAAACATGTTTTAAAAAAACAAAATGTGTGCCTATTTGAGATTTTCAAGTGAAGCCAAAGTATTGTGTCAGCTGATGAATATATAATAAATCCCCCGACTCGCAAAACAACTGATTTCAACTGATAAGCTTTTAGTTTAAGATAAATAGTTTAACGACCGATTTGATATATAGGGTATACATTTGACAACCAGGAAGTCATGTTATATCATTTTATCGATTAAGCTGAAAGCACGGATTACACGTAGGCTGTTGTGAATATTGCAGTGATAATGAACACTTCATGGTTCTTACCTGTAGATATACACAGGTAAGTAATGACTGATTGACTCATGACTGTTACGCACGCAAACTTGCACGGACCACCTTGGTAACAAATAACGTCAAGCTGGCCCGCTATAGTGGCACGCAAAAAGCTTATCGCTTAGTTTAGCCTACTTTATATGTAATTGAAACTGGCAGACGTGGCAAGGAGTCTAGTGTATATAACTGGATGCTTCCATCAGTATCCAATTCAATGACTGTCTGGAAGGCGATGACTAAACTCCTTTGCAGGTCTGAAATTCGGAGAGAAAAAACTGAAAAGCTGCTGTTGTCCACTGCATGATCACAAGAGGCGACGTTAGGAACCTGCCCGTTCCCAGTATGACTTAAACGAAAAATCAAATTAAAACGAAAGCAAAACCAAATCTTACTTATATATATATCAAATATTGGGACTGATTGTGAAACTGATATGGCAGCCACCTTGAATTTTGACAGCAAAACGTACTTGAGGGATCTTCCTGAAATAGGAATATAAAGGTTCCCCGTGGTCTGTTGTTGTTAATGTTTACTCTTGAGATTAATTGGATCATCATAATGGCCGACTGTCGGCCATTTTGGGTATTGATAGTTTAAGTTTGTTATCGCTATTTCTCGGAAAGTACTGAAAGGATCTTTCTCAAATGTATTATGCAGGTTCCCTTTGGTCATTAGTTGTACATGTTTACCTTTCAAACAGATCAGAAGAATACGATGGCTGCTAAACTTTTAATTTTAAGAGTTTGTTATCGCTATTTCTCGCTATTTCTCAACAAGTATCCGGCAGATCTTTTTGAAATATCATTGCAATCATCTAGAATTTTTACATTTCACGAGTTATATCACTATTGCCAAGGAGGAACTTGAAAAAAGACATTAGGTTGCAATGATCGGTTCTATTTCTTTCGCATACTAGTTGTGTAGTACTCAGAAGAGTTGAATAACCACAATTGTCCGACTGTTATCAATAGGGTGCCCGCTCAACAAGAGTAATTATCAATGACTTAACTTCAAACTTCATATGGAGGATAAATACCCGAGAGCTCGGACAAGTTGGATAACCTATCGGTGGTGTCTCCCTGCAAATTTTACGAATTGCTGGAGGTTCAGATAAAGAGCTGGCCTGCTATACACCATTGCCTGTTACCGTTTAAGCCATCCAATGCTTGGCCTTCTGAATAATAACGGTCTTTTTGCGATTTTCACTGTGGGGACATCAAAGAAAATAGAAATTGATCTTGTGTCCCGTCCCTTTTGCAAGACTTGATTTTTTTCACACTTTTCTACCTTTTTTTCTTGATTGTGACAATTTTGTATAGATAGTTATTAGAAAAAGAACATGTCAGTATATGATTTTTTTGTGATTTAATCAACAAAAGTTTACAAAATCTTAACGTTGTGATAGCCTATTTATAAAAGAAATTTACATTGAAAAGGAAGTACATACGTGTGTACATGAATTTAATTTACATGTGTTATTTATAATGTATATTGAATTGATACATTGCATAAAATACTCAATTAAATCATTGATAAATATTTTGACACATTATAGGTCAGCGAACCGTAGAAAAAGCAAAATATATCTAAAAGACAAACAGATTAAGCAAAAACATCTTTTCGCGACTTTGAAACAGCAGGTAATTGGTCCTTATACACATTTAAAGGCAGGTTTCACGGTATGGTCTCGTTTTTAAACTTCAAAAACTGTTTGTACCGCTTCAATAAAAAAAATCATTTATAAAATAGTAAACAAATGTATGTTTTGTGATTTCTTTGTATAGCATTTTCATTACTTCAAGAATACATCTAAAACTTTGACCTGTAAAACTCATTTGAGGGCTTTTCTTCATCACATTTTTTATCATCATGATTATTTTGTTTTTAAGTTTTAAAACTGATAATTGCTTGAAAATGTATGTTGATCATGGCATTATTTACACAAAAAATGATCCATGTACTACAATAACGCGAAGAAAAGGTTACAAGCAAAAAATATTAATTCAACATTTAAATGTTAATAATGTATTGTGTAAAATTTCATATCTAAGAACTCGCACAACACAGGTTAATTAGAAACGGCATTTCAGATCTGCTTACATAACAACAGCTTGAACTAGGTTAAGAATCACTGAGATACAATCGCAGGATATATATTGAATGTAGTTCTATTACACATACCATTATAATCACACAAGGGCATGTATTTTTTATATCTTTACAATCTTGTTTTGTTTTGCAAATAATTTCCGTTGCAGTCATGTATTATTAAATGCACAATTATAACTGTTTGGTATGACCACAACATAGCTCCAATATTTTGTTTACGAATGAACAAGATCCTCCAACAAAAAATGTAAACTGTATAGTAAGTTGAAGATATGGATTAAACCGATATCAATATTAGACATGGTGCTATTTACACAAGTGCAGTTGATGTAAAATTCAGACATGAAACAAAGTTTATATATCCGTATCAGATAGGAATTAGAATAAGGTGTGATTGCACGGTATGCCCTACGGAGAGTGTCCTTTAAGGCGATGCCATGTAATTTGCATATCTTTTGTATAGATATTTGAATTTATTCATGCAAAGATAAATTATCATCAACACGAATTTTATCACTCTGTTCCTACAGCAAAATCAGTTACATACACCAACCCTTAACAAAAAACAATACATCAGTGGTTCAGAGAATAAAAGGATACATATTGTGGACTAAGATTAAAATCATAGAATGGAAAGGTTACTATATAACAATATAGGAAATATAAAAACGATTGTTTTGCAGATGTTTTTTTGCGCATTATTGCAATTTCACCACTGCTGTAACCGAAGTATAAATGTATGCGGTTTTCAACTCTTTCTGAATAAGTAACATGCAAGTAATCATTTTGTCTACTACGGTGCTGCATAGCAGCAAAATCGCTTGTTTTGCAGTAGCGCCATCCACGCCTCACGAGGACTACCTTGTATCTCTCACAGTTTAGTCTTAATGATGTCATGGCTTGATTTCTTTGACATTCTGTCACCAATTTCAACTAAACAGTACATCATCATTCCCAGGACCAGCCATCCGATCGCCATGTACATTTTTATTCTGGTTTCGAGATAAGCACTGTATCCGAATGCCAAAATGAATCCAACCGATTCCCACAGACGATAATTTGCAAAGGCAGCCTCAGTGTTTTTCGTGAAAAGGTAGCCGTACAGTGCTGAAACACAATAAAACACGAATGTAATGCGTTTGTTATTTAGGACACATCATTATATATTTCTTCTTTACAAAGTTTCTGGTCCAACAAATGGATTTAACAGCAGGTTGAGCTTATTTCATTTCAAATAAACATTCTTATAATATATATACAGCTACTGATATACACAGTATAACAATAGTGATGATCATTATATATATTTAGCCGAGTGTGAAAGTGTTGTATAAGATACGTTTCTGGGCGAATGAGAGTAGATATATTTGGGGAGCAATGCGCGAAATTGAACATGACTCGGAATCGATAAACACCAGTTTAACTAATTACATCGTGTCGTCAACACCCTGCATGATGTAATTGTGTGATATGTTCAAAAATAAACCGCTGGCTAGAAATAATTTAACATTAACTGTGGATAATTGAGTTTCTCATCCTGTTAAATTATGAGAAAATGCAACTGCAATTTCAAATTTGGTTACATTCTTGATGAAGAAATTTATAGCCAATTAAAATCCTGAAAACAAGGCAATAGAAGCGTAAATGATATTCATATTATTTACCTCTAAATACAAATATATTAATTAATATCAAAATATTTGTTGAACTACTTAAATTGCAAATTTAAAGGTGACAACTCAAGATGCTGCTTAATCATTGCCTTCTGTTTATTATCACATGTTGCCGCACAAAATATATAAATTAAGCAATAATGTAGCCATCGTTTAAATGACTACGCATATGTAGTTAATACAAGAATAAAAAATATCATAAGTAACCGTTCATCTTTACATTGTGAACACTTTGTTTGGTAAAGGACGTGCATTTTGAACAACACACGTTTCAATGTTAGTAATGTGTTTATTACATATATAAATTGCATGCTTTAGTCAGATTTAATGGCTATGAAGTGCTAACATCATAGCGAGTCAGGATACTGTTTCATTCGGTGGGAACTATTTTCCGCGAGGTTAACGTACGACCACCATATAAACAAATGATAAGGGTACGTTTAGCAAGTTTCAAATAGCAATAACATAAGAAAGATTTAATATAAGAAATATTTAATATTAGAAAGATATATAAATGTTTATGTTTTTGTGCTACAAATGGCACTCATTAAACTGCATAGACAATTAGGTTGCTGTACAGCCCAGATACGATCACATTGATAGAACATGAAAACTGATATCCCTTTAATCAACTTTTAACATTAACAATGGCTTTCGTCGTCTTTCATGACTTCACGTTTACTTTTGTCTTTGATCGAAACGCTACACGTAACGCAGTTTAAACACCGTATATACAAAATGTATGAATATGCAGTAGTGCCATTCGCATTGATTTTTACCTTAAATAGGTTAATTAACACGATGTATCTCACTTTCCTAACCTACAAACGTATGATGTTCGAGCACTTAATCCAGTTCCTCTCGGGTTATTACATGTATTTAGAAATTGAAGATCCAATTCAGCAGTAGGAGACCTTGACCTTTGACTGAGTAAAACGGCATTATGTTATTCATCCTTCTCCCAGTGTACGCAATATTAATAAAATCTAGTGTAATGGTAACCTGTAGAATTGGTTAATTTGGGTAATGTGGGTAAGATTATTAAATACACTATCCCCTTCATGTGTAATGTTCCCTATACATGCAACTTGAATATAAAACCAGGACTATATCGTTTTAGAACCTTTCCAATGTTATCATTATGTTATACATTTTAGATACAGTGATAATATCATACATGTAACGGTTATTCGCGTTGTTGTGTGTGTCAGCCATCACCACGTGATGTATATACCAAAATATGAGAATACATTTTTTTTAAGATGTCTTACGATGTTGATTTCTATGCAATATTTTCTTTATTTTTTCTCCTTTGCATCACTTCCACTACAGCGTATAACGCCATCCCAAAGACAAGCCAAGTTAACACCAGGTATATTTTGACACTGGTGTAAAGATAGCTACTGTAACTGAACGCCATAATAAAGCCTATTGATTCCCAGAGACGGTAGTTGGCGAAAGCTGCCTCTGGTGTTTTTGAAAACAGGAAACCATACAGAGCTGTAACAAAATGGCCAACAAGCACATTTTAACAAACAGTATATGAAAAGTTAAGAGAATTGTAGATTTTAGACATCTTGATGTCATCTATGCATACAAAGCCATTTTGCAACACAGGGATCAACAGTTTCCCAGTCAACTGTGCAATGTGTAAACTTTTTCCACATATGACTGTAAAAAAGATAAAATTGCAGGAAAAAAAACACCCAAAAAAAACATTTTTTTTTTAATTTTACAAAGTAATATATAATTATACATATTTACTTTGTTCTGTAATGTGTTCCTTACAAGCAAGATTTACAAAACTGCTGATTTAAATACAATCTCTTACAACAGAGCGTACTTTGTTTAATGCTGTCAATAAAACAATTCAATGTATTTAATCCATTTTACATTTAATCGCTGTATAATGTCAATGTTATGTTCACAAAAATGTCATTTTTAAGTTCACTCAAATGTTCTGCAAGTGGCAGGAAGCATATAAACATTTTTCTATCAATGCAGTTTACACAATAATGTTGTATGATCAACATAAAGGAAAATAACTAAAAGGAAAATAACTATTATTTAGTCATGTTTGCTTTCAACAACGACATAGTGTAATTTTAATGCAGATGACTTGTAAACGATCTTAATTAATTTACACTAAAAACGTATGTTTTAACAAGAGGGCATGCATGTATCGCTCTCCCGGACGACAAAGCAACGATGGAAAACTATGCTTATTACAAATATTGGCTCTGTCTCTCAGTAACACATGTCCTTCATTAGGTCCCTTCTTTTTATTTCCATGAACTGGGGTGGATGTTAAACATTAACCTCATTTCCCCTATTAGGCAGCACCCCTCTGTCCCCTCAAAGCATCCCACAATTTACACTAAATTGAGTCTCCTTTGCCCAAGGATGCTCTACACAAATTTGGTTAAAATCCTTTCAAATAAACTGAATAAAAGGATTTGAAACATTTCTAACTATATTTCCCCTACTAGAGACCCTTTCCCATCGCTCCCAGGAGGACCACTCTCTCAGTTAAAACAAATTAAGTCCATCTGCCAAATGGGTAACTTTGGTTGAATTTCCTCCAATAAAGCTATAGGAGAAGGGTTTTAAATTAAATAATTTTACATGAATTTTCCCAATTGCTCTACCCCGAGGGCCACATTCTCTGTTTATAAAACCTGTTGATGTTTATTTCTATGCAATATTCTCTTGTTTTTGTCTTCTGTGCATATAATATCATCCCAAAGATTAGCCAGCTCAGCGGCAGGCATATTTTCATACTAGTATACAGGAAGTTGCTGTAACTAAATACCACGATAAAGTCTATGACGTCACAAAGCCGGTAGTTAGCGAATGCTACTGCTAGTTGATTTGAAAACAGGAGCCCGTACACGGCTGCAACAAAACTACCAACCACGGCGAACATATTTTAACATTCCGGTTGAGTCAAAAGCTATATTACAATACACATTATAATTATAATAAATAAAAACAAAATCGTAAATCAAATGCCAGTATTTTAACGTCTTACATTGAGAAGATGTACATTGCATCGGAAAAGTATTGTAAATAAAACATATGTAAATTTTATTCAGATTACACATAAATCATAGATAAATTACAAGAATCATTGTGCGAGTTTAATACGCCTGACTTATATATCATAGGTATTCGTAGCTTTATTTTATTGTTTAGATGTGATGTGGTGGAAATCAGCATGTGAACTTAGTGAAAATGCTTGTCATGTCATCAAAGGATGTGAATTTAAAAATATTGGTAAATGTTCCATTTGGGCCCCCGCCCTTAGTCCCTGAGTAATTTTCTGCTGAAAATGGATAAAATATACCCAAAAGTGTTATTCCCCTATATAAACTATAGTAAACTTTACCCCCTCCCCAAGGGAGAACAGATAGCTCAGGGGTCCTTAAATTTACAATTTTAGTACAGCCCCTGATGATTTTTCTCTCCATGCAGAGAAAATGACTGTAGTACCTCTGAGTCTGGAGAAGAAGGTTTTTGAAATATTGGTTAATTTTCCCTTGGGGCCCCAATTTTGTAGCCTCAGGCATCTACCAAGGATTATTCTGACCAAGTTTGGAAAAAAATCCATCCGCTGGTTCTTAAGAAGAAGTTGAAAATGTCAAAAAAAATCGAAAGACCACGGACGGAAAGCGATTAGAATAGGTCACATGAACAAAGCTCAGGTGACCTAAAAAGCGATGTATAAAATGATTTGGATAATTTACATGCAGGTAATGTTTTATTTTTTATAGATATCGCAAGTGTTATTTTAATCCTCTTGTTGGTGATGCAATGTACAAAAACAGCTGTTGTACAATGGCAATTGAGTAAACAGAAACAAAATTGTGTTTTACATTAATACTAGTTTCACTATTATTATGGGTTGTCGGGTGGTGCAGGGGTTTCACTGTTAGTATAGGTTTGTCGGGTGGTGCAGGGGATATCGCACTTGCCTTTCACCAAGGCGACCGGGGTTCGATTCCCCGATAGTATTTAAAAAGAGGTATGGGGTCACCTGCCCGACCATGTGGGTGTACTCCGTCCCCCCCNGGTAAAATAAAAAAAGTTTAGATTTAGATTGTACTGGTTTCAAAAGATAACTGTCGTGGTTTTTTAAAATTTAGTATACACACAAAATAATAGTAAGTTTTATTCAGTTTAACACAAACTGTTATGTATATTTTACTGCAGTTAACAAATACACCGAAAAAGAATTAAACAACTTCTATCGGTTCTGCATTAAAATTAGCGGAACATTTTATGTAGAGTGATTTGAAATTTGAGTTTATTCCAAAACACACAAAAATGTTCATCGATTTTAATAACAATTTCCATCTTATTACCAAAACAAAGATCCGCGTCTCAAGGAAAGTCTATTTAACTAAGAGGATAACGTTACCGCAAACATAAACAAGGCAGCAGAAATTCTTTATAAGACAATTCACAAAGAAAGACAGCAATTGACGAACTTACCGTTGATCTGCGTCTGTATGACGGCGTCGCCCATTCCCCACAAGGCAGCAAAGATGTAGAACAGATACACCCTGTCAGGGTCAGGCTGCCAAAGCAGGAGAGTGATCAAAGTCCCGCCGTGCACAAGGAATGCTGGATTGATTGAAACGGTAGATAAAAATGAACAAGATCAAAGTAGAATGTATAGATATACCATTACCATGCACACAAGGACAAAGGAGCCCTAAATTCGATTGAACCATCTTCATTAGTTGTACGTCTGTTTGACATTTTCTCTGCCTTTCTCTTATCTGTTTGATCGAGGATTTAAGATGACGAAATGCACCTTGAGGTAACATTTAATCTAAACTTGATACTGCCATGTTTAAAAGACAACTTTAAGTCTTTCAAAGTGAGTTTGTTGTTTCTCATATTTACTAGTACAGTACTTTATGTGAAATTTGAGAAAAGATATTCATGATTACTCTCAAAATAAAACATGCACAACTTAGGATCTAGGGGAAACTGCATCTCTAAAGATCCCTCAAGTACTTCCGGAGAAATACCGATAACAAACCTTCACTGACGAAATCCAAGATTTTTTTTTTTACATTATATCATTTGTTGTCTACGCATTGATTCATTTTTCTTTTGCCACTTTTACTTACAGAATCTGTTTTTAGAGATTTGAACTCTTGAAATCCGTGAAAGAAATCCGTGAAAGAAATGTTTAAAGTTAACAGGTGGTAGCAATAATTGCCAATAAAGTCGCTTTTGTAGCGCGATCAGCCTTTTCATGACCTAGTATTCACAAATTTCTAGAAATCCAAAATGATGCAATACTTAAATTAAAAACATAAAAACTGAACCCCCCCCCCATTAGTTGAAGCCTTAATTTAATTTGGCATCAATAACGACGTTTTCGCAACCGAAAACATGTTGATTAAAAAAGGTTGCACATGACATACCTAAAATGAAGAATGGGATATGTCCTACGTACTGCACGAGACGTCCAAATGTGAAGGAGCAGATGGCGTCTACCACTCCGTAACAAATCATGACGTAACCAACATTCCAGATACCAAGGGTGCAGCTTATAAAGGACTGTAAGCAAAGAAGAAAGAAAGCATCAACACTAGGCCAACCTAGACCATGAAAAGGAATCTTACACAACTTTAATTTCAAGATAAACGGAATGGTGAACTGACAACAATCTTTATACACAGGTATAATATATGTGGTCAGATAATATTAATGCATTTAAACTTTTTAATCTTATAGTATAGACTAAGTCCGCAAATATATTTAAAAAACAGAAATATGTCAAAATGACTTGAAAGTCACCCCATCTCCTACATTTGTATATGATAATTTTCAGTATATTAAATCATTGACCAAGCTACAACTGACATATTGCGTTCTGTTAATCAAAATGGTCTAACAATGACAGGCATACACAATGTTTAGGTAACCATGCCAACACATGGAATTAATAAGAAAGCATGTGGCAAATATATGTTGTCACCTGGCATGGGCAGAACAGGTAATTGGAATAAAACGATGTTGTTTTCACAACAATAACTTTCAGAAAAGTTTTTTTTTAATTTATTTTTTTACCTCATTACTGTAATAAAGAAAACGATTCACACAGCTGGTCAACATAACATACCCAAGTATCATGACTTTAGTCCAAATGGTTCTAAGGATGTTGTTGTTTGAATTTTTTAAACATATTTGACCCCTGTGACCTTGAAATTAGGTCAAGGTCATTTTAATAAGGCAATTTTATCACTTCATCCCAGGTACCTAATGGCCAATTATCATGACCCTGGGTCATCCAGTTCTTCAGAAGTCGTTCAAAAGAAACGGTTGACGGACGGACGACGGACGCCGCAGTACGGCATAAGCGCACATGGCCCTTTGGGCCAGGTGAACTAAACACCGTTTTCAGCATCACATGCGACACCCATCGATAGCTTTCATTAAAATCCCTAAACACTCAATCGCTAGTTACCTTAGTATAATCGCCAGTGATGAACGCCTGTTCTATTCCACTGTAAATAGTGAGAGGCATCAGTAGCTTCTGGTACGGGGAATTCCACCAATGGCGGAAGGTTGCTACCAATAGATTGACTGACAGCTTCCGGTCCTCCTTGGCAATATCCTTATCCTTGTCAAGTTTTATCTGGTCTAGAAGTCCAGCGATGATGAAGAAGGCCACGCAACTACATGCTATGTATATTCCGCAAACGATGTAGACCTTTGGGTTAAAAGATAGTATAAAAGTTTAATAAATATTGATTTATAAACAAGATACAGAATCGTTTCGTTAGGTTATGATAAGTATTGGATTCTTAACGGCCTATTAACACAAAAGAGGCTATAAGGGCCAATAATAATGTTAAAGGAAATGATATCAGGTAAAAGACAAACGTCCACTTGAAAAGTAAAAGTGGCTATGGTTAGTTTTATTATGTCACCTTAGCTTTGCTCAAGTGACCTTTTCTGATCGCTTTCCGTCCGTCGTCGTGCGTCGTGCGTTTTACATTTTTGTCTTCTTAAGAACCAGTGGATGGACATTCTTCAAACATAGGTCAAAATCATCCTTGGTAAATGAGGATACAAAATTGTAAAACTGGGATACATACCCCAACCAAAGGGAAAATTAACCAATGTTTCAAAATATTTCTTCTCCAGACACGGAGGTACTACAGTCAATTTCTCTGCATGGATGAAAAGATCATCAGGGGCCCTATTTAAATTGTAAATTTCAGTACCCCTGGGCCATCTGTTCTCCCTTTGGGAGGGGGTTAAGTTTACTATAGTTTATATAGGGAAATAACACTATTGGGTTTATTTTTTTCATTTTCAGTAGGAAGTTCTTCTTACTTGGTGAAAATCATTCTTGGAGAAAGATGGTACCAAATTGTAAAATCGAGATTCCTGCTCCAACCCCAGGGGCCAGGGCGGGGCCCCAAAAGGAAAATTGACCAATATTTCAAAAATCTTCTTCTCCAGACTCGGAGGTACTACAGTCAATTTCTCTGCATGGATGGAACGATCATCAAGGGCTTTGTTTAAATTGTAAATTGATGTACCCCTGGGCCAACCGTTCTACTTTGGGGTGGGGGTAAAAAATACTTTAGTTTATATAGGGAAATAACACTTTTGGGTATATTTTGTCCATTTTCAGGAGAGAGACAAATCATGCTTGGTGAGAATCATCTAGGAGGAAGATGGTATGAAAATGTAAAATTTGGATTCCTGCCCCGACCCCAGGGGCCAGGGCGGGGCCCAAAGGGAAAATTAACTAATACTTCAAAAATCCTCTTCTCCAGATTCAGAGGTACTACAGTCAATTTCTCTGCGTGTATAAAAAGATCATCAGGGGCTTTGTTTAAATTGTAAATTTATGTACCCCTGGGCCATCGGTTCTCCTTTGGGGGGGGGGGGTAAAATTTACTATAGTTTATATAGGGAAATAACCCTTTTGGGTATATTTTGTCCATTTTCAGCAGGAAACTTGGTTGGAATGATAATGATGCCAGATGACAATTAGATGGTATGAGAAAATAAGATCCTGCCCTATCCCTAGGAGCTGGAGGGGTGGGTCCTAAATGGGGACTATGGTTGAAAGTTAAAAAAATCTTCATCAGACTCAGTTACCTTAATTACCTTAATTGTAAATTTCGTTATTTCCCAGGTCATCTGCTCTCCCTTGGGGAGAGGTTATAGTTCTCAATAGCAAAATAATTTATTTGAATAGTTTTTTATGTTCTTACCCTTTGGTGACATGACAAGTATTGTATTTCACTTTGTTTACATGTTGTTTTCCACATTTTGTACATCTCAACAATGAAATTGAGCTACTAGCTATAGTACCTATACTCAGGTGACCGCTAAGGCTCTTAGGCCTCTCGTTTTTTGGAATAGACCAACACTTTTTATGTGGGTTAGAAATTAAGAGATATTTACTGTGTTGAAAAGAGATTAGAGATGTTACATTAATATAAAATATGAATATATTGCTGGCTAAAGGTCAATGCAATCTCCGTGTTTTATTGTTAATGGCTCGTGCAAACATTTGCATTGGGACTGGTCTTCGCTTTGAAGTAAATAAAAATGGGTAATGCATGAATAACCAATCAGGTGACTGGCAAAGACAACCTCGTCTCTGCGATTTTCTGTATAGCTTAGACACCATTCGCCGATTTTAGTTTTACAGAATTTAATTTATTGGCAACACATTGATTCTAACTTTAAAATAATTTTTGAGAATCGAAGTATCTAGCTGTGAATGAACATATGCAGGCAAAAAACGGTTACGTTATTTTTTTACCTTTTCAATTGGCGGTCGAGCAAGGTTTGTATTGTTGTTTGAAGGCGCCGTCGGGTCAAAAGCAGCCCCACAGCGCGCCAGTTCCTCGGTCGTCGGTATAGTTTCATTTTCAGGGCGTTGACTGAATACAGTTGATGAGATAAGATTACCCCAAACTTGACCTGAATTGTACAAAATGATACCATGGACCTGAATGTATGATGGAAAATACAAATTTATACATAACGTATTTTACAATATTGTTGTTTTAATCGTTGCTTTAATCAATGTCTCATGTTATAAAAATAATAATTTCAAATCAGGGAAAAAATCCAGGATATTGTGGAAAAAAACGAAATTGACCTATTCCAAATGCAACTCTTAGGATCTGTATCCGGTCTTTTATTATGCTTCGACTGCCAATGCTCATAGATGAATTTAAAGTAGACAAAAAGATATATTTAACCGATCACCGGGACGATGTTTAGGGTTTTCGGTGGTTAAGCCAATACCATGCACGTTGAGGCGGACGACGTTTAATGACATTGCAGAAAAACATGAATTTACAAGTTATACCTATTACTGAGTTATACACATTAAAAAGTGTTTATAGGACTTGTTAAATAATACACTGTTTATAGAATAATCTGAGTGATATCAAAGCTCACACTCCTTTTGACCTTTAAAATATACCACAAAACAATCAATTAAGTCTACCTTACTACTATTTCAAAACAAGTTATTCAATTTGTTTGTTTAATATATGGATGGAAATATGTCATAGTGAGGTTGCATGTATCGTTTAATCAAAACATCCGAAACTATCTATTCTAATTTCCGTTATCTTTAAAACAGAAATTTTCATATTGTTAACAATTGCTTTGACCATTTGTTTCTTTGATTTGTTTTTACGGCCTATTTACAACCAAAAAGAACAGATTTAATGACCTTTATAAGTTGCATAGTGTGGAAGTTATCAAGGGGATTAGAATGAACGTTATAAGGTAGTTCTCAAACACATTTTCCAATTTTTACGAGGGAAAAAAATACATCAATCTGATTTAATCGAAACGGTTTAGTTTCTCCTTTGTTCTGACAATTGCACTTTAACATAATATCTGTTCATTTTGTAATTTTGTATTCAAATATGTCAATTTAAAGAGCAGATTAAGTATCGAATAAATTTTAAGGAATCAAATGTTCTGCAGTTACCCATACTAATGTAAATCTCCTCAACTAGCATTTTACGAACCTGCGGTGGTTTAACAAATTATACAGACACATAAAAAACTAGTTGTCCGCACCTACATACAAACCATTAGGAACGTCCTTTGCAAAGATATCTTCTGTGTTAATATATAAAATGATTACTCATTTTAATAATGAAATTGTGACATTTCGATGGTTGGCACAAGGGCATGGGTAACCAATGTTGCTAAATTACTATAAATTCATTGTTGTTTCCAAATTCAACTCGCCGGAAATCCATAATTTCTACGTGTCAGTGAGGTGAGCACCTCGCAATACACACTTTGACTGAGTGACAGTAATTAGCGACATCTCAGCAATACATCGATTATTGGAATGACCATAACTGTTGATAGAACGTTAAGCAATACTAAACCAAACCTAACCAAATTGTATGAATAGGTGATTCTAGCTTATGGTTACGTAAAACGAGGGATAATACATACCGCCTTTGGATTCGGAAGTTTTCGAAACGCGGCATGCATTATCCATCGTTTTAAATGTACAACTACAGACCAAGGAGAACCTTAATATCTAATTTGAGAAAGAGTAATTTCTGAGAAATAGTGCTATCAACTTCAAACTCTGAAAAAGCAAGATGGCGCCCATCGGCCATCTTAATTTTCTGACCAGTCCTTAAGTTGGTTATGTAAACTAGGGACCATGGGGAAGCTGCATGTGGAATATGAGAAAGATCCCTCCAGTCCTTTCTGTGAAATAGCGCTAACAAACTTTTAAGTTTCAAATTAAAGATGGCTGGCTGTTGGCCATCTTGGTTTTGTGACAAGTTCAAAAAACGATATGCATAACTAAAGATCATGGGGAACCTTCGCGTGAAATTTGAGGAAGATCCCTCCAGTGCTTCCTGATAAATAGCGCTAACAAACTTTAGCTCTAAAATTGAAGATGGTTGGCTGTCGGCTATCTAGGTTTTGCGATCAGTCCCAAAAATGATATGCATAACGAAGGACCATGGGAAACCTTCATGTAAAATTTGAGAAATATCCCTTCAGTACTTTCTGATAAATAGCGCTAACAAGCTTGTTTAAGGACGGACGGAATGACGAACCTATAGACCACGGACGCAGGGCGATTTTAATGTTGGGCTAAATAAAAAAAAAAAAAAACGATATTCCTAAACGCTCTTAAAACACGAGCGTACTAGTATACGCCTTCATGAAGTATGCATCAAAATCACAACAATTTCAAAAATAAAATTGAACATGTTTGTGAAGGTTTTGTTTGTATCTTTTTGTCAACAATCTGGGGTTTTGAAGCATGGGTGTCAACAATTTGTTGAAAACCCCCAAAACCTTCGTAAAATGCCAATAACGTGAAAAGGTGAAAACAATTGATATAATAAATGGATTACTATTTCGTTTAACATGAATGAACACTTTCACTGCTCTTCAGAGATATCAATTCGATGACAACAATTCGGAAGACCAAGGATTGTGCATGTGAACTACCGCACAAGACGCCTTTCGCTTTAGCATTTAATAAAACCGGTGCAACAGGACCGGTTCTCTACACCTACGCACGTTTCAATCAGGTCAGAGCACTGCCCACCAAAACAAATGTGTGTGTGTATTACCTTAAGGCGTATCACCTAACCCCTTCGTTATCCCCCCCCTCCAAACTTTTTTATCATCGTAATATATTTCACCTTTATAATAACAGCACTAAATATTTTGTTTTGCAAATAAAATGGAAAGCATACTCACTTGTCTGGAACACCATGAAGAAGAATCCAAAGAATCGGTTGATGACGTCATCTTCGGTGGCGCCTGTGTGTTTTGCATACCAAACGGCAGTTTGTGTAAGGTATGTACACTTTGCAGACCACAAGGGAGCAGCACCCAACCCGACAATAACGGAGGCCACCGCCATTGTTCCCCAAACAGCGTAGAAGTTGGCGGCCATGTACACAATATAACAGATCATGGATAATGCAACAGTCCATTTACAGCCTAACTGGCCAACAATGAAGGCCGGAAAGAACATGCATGAGACTACAAGAGCACCGTACACGATAGCCAGTCCCCCGGTACCGAGACCGTCGTCTTTGTTTAGGGAACTCTGTAAATTCGATAATGACTGAAAGGATGTGAAAAGGAACAGGAATCCAAAACTCACAACCACAACATTTTTTAGGATCGTTTTCTTGCTCATTCGGTGATCAACCGTCTGCGTCGAAGGACTAGGACCTGCGGCATTTTGGTACCCTTTCCCAAAATCGACCATCTCGGTGGTATACTGTGCCATGCTTATCTATTTCTGAAAAAGATATAACACATGGATATAAGCATTTAAACAACATGAAAAAAGCATTCTGTTGGTATTGATGAATCAATACATATCCCCTACCGGTGCCCCTAACAGATACAGCAAACAAATAAAGTATATGGTGAATCAGAAAACTTTAACCAAAACCTTAACCTGCAGATTTTTGCCAAGATATTTAAGTCCAAAACACGTCAAAAATTAAAAACACTTCCACTAAAACACATCAATGCTAGACGCCTGTACATAAACTCAGCATCCTAAAACTATTATAAAGTAAACAGTGAGCCATTGCAAAACTTTCAATCAAACTTTATCCTGCAGATTTTGGCCAAGATACTTAAGTCAAAAACATGTCAAAAATAAAAAAAATAAAAATCGCTAGACCCCTTTAGAACCTCTGTACATAAAATTTGGTTTGGTTTCATTTTGTTTAACGTCCTATTAACAGCTTAGGTCATTTAAGAACGGCCTCCCCTGTGTACAAGTTGCATGCGTGTAGTGTATGCGTGTGTATTTTCGGAGGCTGCGATATGGTCATGTCTGTACATTGAATAAGCATCCTTAAAATATTAGTAAGTAAAAGGTGAGCCTTACAAATATTTAACCCAAACTTTAACTTGCAGTTTTTGGCCAAGATAGTTAAGTATAAAAAATATCAAATATTAAAAATAACTAAAACTATTTTTCCACTTGCACTAAACAGCATTTTTGCTAGACCCCTACAGAACCCCTATGCAAAGAACTAGCATCATAACATCATTATTAAGCGAATGGTAAGCTATTAAAAACTTTAACCAAAACCTCAACCAAAGGTTACTGATTGACTGACGGACAGGCGAACGCAGACAAAACCTATAGTCCCCCCTCTCCAATTTCACAGGTAGTGGACTAAAACAAAGTAAAACTTCTCAATAAACATGACCCAAATTCCAGAGCAAAAATGTTTGAAAGACAAGAATATTTATTTTACGGTTCATTTAAGCATTGAACTGTTTTTGTATGGTATTTATGATCTATTTGAATGACACAGCTTTGCAAGCAATCAACATAATGCGCGCTTGATCATGAATACCAAACAAAAACAGTTCAATACTTATATTTACGTTTTCTCTACCTCTTATGTTCTTATTGAACTTATAATTTATATTTAAAATAAAAAATCCCCGCCTTATCGTCAGTCCATACGATTTCGTTCAATAGTTTGAACAGCGTATTGTCGCGTGCTGATTGGCAAACAAAGTAGTACTTTGAAATTTTAACAAAAACTTACAAACACAAGTTCGATTTGAAATTGTTTCGATTTTTCCCCGGAACAAATTTCGCGCATGGACAAATACAGTGAACACCGTAAATCCAACCTTGCCCTCCACGAGGGAGTTATTTTTGGAAGTTATTCGAACTTTTCTCTTTGCTCATTTTGTGAAGAATCTAGGCGTGAATGTATTTGTTGATTGTATGGGAACCTGACAACAGTCGGTAGATTCTATAACAGCCTCGTTGTTTGACATGTCATCAGAAACTGAGAAATGGTGGATGCAAGACGCGTGAAACTGATAGCGTTTGAAGTGAGTGATCTTGCGACGAAGCACAGGTTCGTTACTCATATCAGTAGGTCTGTAACATATGTGTCACTAAGTCTATAGAACATGTGTATTTCATACATTTGTAACGAACCCCTATTGATCAGTGCAGTATAACAGACGATATTTCTGATAAATTGCATGAGCGTTAAAATTGTTTCCATTGCCGGCATTGGTGATTTCAACCGATGTGCATTTTGTAAGATATTACAGACAAGTGTTTTTTTATTTTATTTTGTATTTTGCACATATATTTACAATGGCATTGTCAAATCTTACAATGCCCAGCGATATTTTAGCAGCCGTCATGTTTATTTATATTGGATATTGTAGTTCCGGTCAGTGTTGTATTAATATGCTAAGAATTGTGTCTCGTGATGCATGGGTAATTAAAGTCCCATCAACGACACAACTTTCAAAGAAGCTATATAGTGGCAATGCCATGCAAATGCAAATATATATATGTATAGGATAGGAAAAACATCTTGGGATTCTTTGATGGTCAGATGGCCTTTATAGACATGTACTTCCTAATGACTACCTAACTTATCTATGAATTCAACACACCAGTAAACATTAGTATAAAGGAAAGAGCCGCCTGGGTCAGATTTACCCCGCAAAAACAATCATATGAAGGATTCGTTATCGACCCATTATGGATGTTTGTTCGAGAAGGGCAGGAACTTTGATAACAAATATGTACAATTTGTTTTACAATAGTTCCATGTGGACATGCTTTCCATTTCCTGCATGTGAGATGCAGGCATTCTTCAATCATTCATTTACAAGAGGCCCAGAGCGCCTGTATCGCTCACCTGGATAACAATGCAACCATGGGAAAATATTCTTATTACATAAAATACCTCCAATTGTTCAGAAGAAGGATTTTAAAGATTTCAACCTCAAATTCCCCTATGTGGCCCCGCAATTCTGCACCCAAAAGGGACACACTCTCCATTTGTACCATTTTTCTCCATTGCCAAAGAATACTCCGGGTCAAATGTGGATAAAATCCCTCCAATGATTTTAACCTCAAATTTCCCTTTTGTGCACTGCCGCTTTGTATCCATAGGGGCCACACCTAAAGTAAATACAAAATAAGGATTTATCCAGACTAAATTTGGATAAAATCCCTCTAATGATACAGAAAGAGAAGGATTTTAAAGATTTAAACCTCAAGTTCCCCTTTTGAGCCCTGCCGCTCTGCGTCCAGAGGGGCCACATTGCAGAGGGGTCACACCTAATGTTTATACAAAATAAAGTCGCCTTTGCCCAAGGATGCTCCAGGCCAAATTTGGATAAAATCCCTCCAATGGTACAAAAGAAGGATTTTAAAGATTTAAACCTCAAATTCCTCTTTTGAGCCCCGCCCCTCTGCACCCAAAGAGTCCACACCCACAGTCTATATAAAACTAAGTCATCTTGGCCCAAGATTGCTAAACACCAAATTAGAATGTCGAAGATTTTACCTGTATTTCCCCTATTGAACCCCTCCTCTGATCCCAAAGATTGCAAAGGGTACAGCAGACCTATTTTCGAAGCTTTTGTGTCGCAAAGTAGAGGGCACAACGTAATTACCCAATTCTGCAGAGGGTTCCCACATTTGTCGTCTCTTACGATACATGCAGTGGGTAACAACAGGTGTATTCTTTTCTCGATCCCTGACCTGCAGGGGTGTGGTTTGTGGGGTTCAACGCCTTATTAACAGATTACGTCATTACGGACGTGCCGCCATTTTGTAAACTGCACCTGTGCCTGTATTCTTGCGATAAGCGCAGATCTTTTGCTGTCTTTGGTCTGCAGCTTCACTAGCATACTATGCCGAATATAATGATAAAATATAGCTTACACATAAAGTCAGTTGGTGTATAATATATGCGCATATGTAATTAAGTATTCAAGTATTATTGATTTATTGTTCATAGATTTACAACACAATATCGACACGGGGACAAAGGGACAGTTTTACGACACTGTTCGTCCTGTTTATGGTAGTAGTGAATGAAATATAATAACAACAAGAGGCCCAAGGGCCTTAGCGGTCACCTGAGTTATATCATAGGTACTGGTAGCTTTATTTTATTGTTTAGATGTGATGTGGAAATCAGCATGTAAACTAAGTGAAATACAATACTTGTCATGTCATCAATGGATAAGAATTTGAAAATATTGGTAAATGTTCCCTTTGGGGCCCCGCCCTAGCCCCTGGGGATGGGGCAGGAATCCCAATTTTACTAAGTAATACTCTCATTCACCCAAGATGATTCTGACTAAGTTTGAGTAATTTTCTGCTGAAAATGGATAAAATATA